CAGCTGCGGGGTCCTGGACGCTCTGGCTCCGGGGCACAGTGCTGGGCGGGTGGGGTGGGGGGGCGCGGATGAGGATGGTGAGCTGGGCGGGGCACTGCAGAGGCCCCGAGTGCCGCTCCCGCAGTACCTCTGCTGGCCTATAGGGGGCCCGTACCTGTTCGTACCTCCTCTTCTGCACCCCAGCTGTGTGCACCCCAGCCTCCTCTTCTGCACCCCAGTACCTGCGCCAGCCTTCTCCAGGCCTTGGCTCCCTTCGGTGAAAAGAGGACGCTCAGCAGCGCAGAAGCCGGAATACCGTGGTGTTATTCGACCTTGGGGCGTTTCTCCTATCGGGCAGTGCCGGAGCCTCAAAGGCTTCTTGGATGTCACACTGGGCCACTGCCCTCAAGGCCAGAATGGGGTGAAAGCGAAGCCGGAAGTCTGTGCAGAGGCCACGGGCCTCCCAGCTCTGGGGTGCAGCCCAGGCCCCGTTCCAATCCGCCACCCTCCACCCCACCACCTCCCTGGGCCTCAGTGTCCACTCCTTCAAAATGGGTGTGGTGATACCAGCCAAGCGTTCGCTCCTGAGAGCCAAGGGTTTGACATGTCAGACATGTGGAAGCTGATTTTTCAACACGAAATATTCCAAATCCAAACTCGCGGCTGCGCTCCAGTCGATGCTGACTCATAGTGACTCCGATAGGACCCAGTAGAACTGTCCTTGTGAGTTTCCAAGGAAACGCCCTCTTTCTCCCACCAAGGGGCTGGGGGTTTCAAACCGGCTGGCTCGGTGGTTGGCCGTCCAAAGCGTCATTCATCAAAATCAAATTGTGTAACTCACGCCGAAAAGAAATCAATCATAGTTCACACACAGCCAATTCCTTGGCGGTTACATGACAGCGTCAGAAACCCCGGAGATGCCTTGACGGCCTTGGTGGTCTTCACACACGCACGTCACCAGCTTTTCTTCCGTACACCGTTGGGTGAATCCGAACAGCCAATCTTTAGGGAATCCGTTCATAGCGTCCTGACGCCTATTTAAAATAAAAGTCGTACATGCTCATGAAGTTTTTTTTAAAAAAAACAATTATTCACCCTCAAGGTTATTTCCGTTGATTGTACAAGGAGCTTGAAAAAGTTCGTGGGAAAATTCCATCATCTTTTCATTTCACTTTTCCATGCACTTTTTGAAGCCCATGCCGATAGCATGGTGGTGTGGTAGGAATTGTGGAATCTATTTCAACAAATAGCAAGCCTATGTGACAGAATAGAACCGCCTCTGTGGGTTTCTGAGGCTGTCAATCTTTTAAAAAAATATTTTAATAGTTTTATTGGCACTTAATCCACATACCATACCAGGCTGTCTATCTTTATGGGAGCAGTCAGCATCCTCTTTTATAACCACAGAGCAGCTTGTGGGTTTGAACCACTGACCTTGTGGTTAGCAGCTAACACATAACCCAGTACTCCACCGGGGCTCCTTGAAAGAGGCCCCAAAGCGTTGCATAGTCAGGAAGTCTTCGAGCTCAGAGTCCCTGGGTGGGTTCAAATTGCATGCCTTTCGGTTCGTAGCCAAGTGCTTTAGAGTTGGGCCACCAGGGCTCCTTCCTAACAGTGCTCTCAGTCACCCGTCACCTTAGTAACGGTGGCTGGATTATTTACACCATTTACAAAAACAAAGAAACCCATCAAACCCACTACCTCTGAGATGACTCCAACCCGGTAGTAGTGACCCGACCCGAGGGCTGCCGAGGCTGTAGATCCTTAGAGGGAAACGGACAGTCAACTCTTTCTCCCTCTAAGACGCTGGTCGATTTGAACCTGGGCAATCCACCCACTCCCCCACCCACCCTACCCCCTCTGCATTCCAGGGACTACCAGTACCAACCCTGTTTCCCAATGAGAAACTGAGGCCCAAAGAAGAAAATCAGACCCAAAGTTACACAACAGGTGAATGGCAGGGTTG